TCATTGTCAAAAGTCCTTTTGCCTTACCTACAGCTCGCTTTCTTGGCTTAACCAGCCAATACCAGATCGCGACTTTTTTATTGGCCTTTATAGCCTTTTGTATTACATTCAGACCAGCTGCCTGCAGCTCTACACAGTATCACACAGTTTCTTCGGTGAATCATTTCACCCCAGACTTCTTCGCTTCTTTCTTGCACAAACCATCCGCGCCCTCGAGAACAACAGCGTCAAAGCAAGGAATGAAGCCGATTAGAAGCCTAGAAGTTTCATCCGCCGTACGAAGCTGGCTTGAAGTCAACGAGAACAGTTCTCCCAGTCCTTCGCCGATGCGGAAAGTATTCACTACAGTGTTGGCTCAATGGCGTTGCCGAAACGGGTACCTTTACCGAAGACGCCGCCAGCCGGGTTTTCTCGGCGTGGTGGAGTTCAAGGTTTTTAACCCCAGATCAGCTCGCCATTTCGGAAATGTTTTAACCTTCGGGTTAAGCGACATTCCCCCAGCACCATCGACTTCTATCTGGAATACAGAGATACTGCACTATGGTGCTTGTTTTACCCACAGTTCGCCGTGTGTGTTTTTGTTGATGATCAGATGGTTGGTCATGGTGCGCACAGTCCACCACAGGCCGTCGCTCCGTCTTCGTTTCTGTCCAGTGTCTTCCCAGCGGTGCAGTACTTGCATCGCGGAACCAGTGCCATGCCGGACGAAGCCGAGACGCGCGGCTAGAAGAAGCGAAGCACCAAGACAGGAGCATGAGACCCGGATGGCGTTCGCTGATGCTGGACAAGTTCCAACATCAATATGCGATTTGTCCAGACAAGTTCGAGTGCAAAAGTAAGATGTTTTTCTGTTTTTGTTGAGTTTGCTTACTGCCCATGTACCATTCGTGGCCTTCATGGCGCAGGCATTCGCATAAAGGCAGTAATTCATTTTACATTCCATTTCCCGTCGGTGTCCACTTCGGATAGCAAGCCAGACCGTCAGCAATGAATTCATCCATTGCTAGCTTTTTGATTTGCTTTTACATACAGAAACGGCTGATTGTGGAGACAGTGCGAGCCGCCGTCTTCCAAACAGTACGATGCTCAAGGAATTTCACATGGCTACCAGATGCGACGGGAAGTGGCGCGTTCAAGACAGCTATTCAACACAATGAAGTTCTTTTACTTCACAGTATACAACACAGCGAAACAACAGCCACATTCCCAGAAACGTCAATGTCAAACATTTCGTCAAGAGCGGTTGTGCTTTCGAGCTAACTTCTTGGTGATTTGCAGAAACATTCCAGCCACCAAGCGTACTGCAATTGGGCTAGTCACAACACACTCAGCACACGTCCCTTCCTCTTCCCCTTTTGAATACAGTTTCTACGGCGGCACGTTGCAACTTCAGGCCTTTTGGTCACAGACTACCTTCAAACCGTCGAGATTTGGAATTCAACCCAGGACATATTACCGTTGATGCCCAAACACAGTTGCTACACAACCCTTTCGCATTCTTTGCCCCAGGGTGGACAGTAATTGCAGCAGGGCGGATGCGATGTTATGATCCAGTCTTCTTGGTCAACGAATGGAATGCGACTCCAGCTGCACAAGATCTTCACATGATCAGTTCGGATCACAGACGACGCTTTTCAAGGTTTACACTCAGGGCCGGTACCGATGCAAGCAAAAAGGCTTTATGTGCTCTTGCACTTGTAGCCCAGTTGATGCTGAAGTTGGGATAGCCCGTGTACATTCTTTGCGCAAAGCACATCTACGAAGTGATTCGTACCAGATCCAGCAGGGACGCCGCACTCCAAGACGGTGATCAAGAAAGACATTCCATCCAGATCTCCCTTTTCCCCTTATTGCCCAGTCCAACAACTCATCACGGGCATCCGCCAGACCCGTCGGATCGCTGAAACAGTGCGAGACCAACGATTGGCAGTGGTGTCTTTATCGTTTTCAGGGCACACAGACCAACATTGATGCGGTTTGATACACACACAGTTCCGTCGTCCTTCATTGAACATTCAGTACATCAGGCTTTGTGATAGTCCAAAGAACCCTGAAATAAGTCAGTGGATTCTCCGGCTATTCCCGCCTGCAACGTTTTTACAGCGTTCATAATTGGACACAGAACTTCGTCGTCATGTCATACCACCAGCCCTTTGTGTTTGCGTTCGGCGCCGCTACAAGGTCCAGTCCATCAATACAGCAGTTCATAGAACTGCGAAAAACGGCATCCCTGACCACTACGAGTCAAATGTTGTTTACACAAACGACTGTAGCAGGAGTGAGCGAGTGGTGGGAGGTTTCCCGTGCACCCTCATCATCCGCGAACGTTTACACACAGAGCCTGCAATGGTCTTTCCCCGTTTACACACAGATTCTCCAATGTTTTGTGTACCTCCAGGAACGGTTCCTTCACTCCCGTTGGTTGCCGCTGCCCTCAAGCCACTTAAGTCCAGCGCAAGTCGGTCAAGCTCTACATCAAGCCGCCCGTCTTCGCCAAGCACTTCATCAAGATGGTCAAGCCGGACGCTCAAGCACTTCAAGTCAAGCTCGACAAGTCGTTCAAGAGCCCGTCATGCCCTCGTCTACAAGCCGCAGCAGTAACCAAAAGTACGTGTTGTCCCTAGCTTCCCGACAGGAGGTCGGGCTCCTTAGCGTCGGTTAGCTCCCCCTCCCTCATTTTGTCTCTCTGAGCCCCACCCCCTAGGTCCTAACCCTAATTTTCGGCCCTCCCGCTCCCAGAAGCACCGTGATACCCTATACCCAGCCCTACCACTTTTCCACTTTACTTTGTGCGGTAGAACTCCACCCTTCACCTATCTGTATCCCGGGCATGGGGATCACCACCTTTTTTTGTCGGGGCCGAGGTCCCACCACTCTTACATTCCAAATACCTCTGCCTTCCAGCCCAAAGACTAGACTGGACCAGGTCTCCGTATCGCCCAAGTCAGGACCACCAGATTGGTGAGAATGATGTAAGCACAACACAGTTCTTCCCTGGTTCAGATCCTAGTAACCCTGAAGCCTCGCGGCTGACGGGCCTCTACAAGGCGCGACCTCTCGGCTTCTCGTGGGCCGGGAGTGTCGAAAGTTCTGTACAAAGTACAGGACTTACGAGGTTTAATTGGTCTGTGGGGCGGGGGCCTTTTCCCGGGGTCCCGCAGCGCGCCCTACTACGGTAGGGAAATCGAGCGGCCTAGCTCTGTCCCGCATTTATGGGCCACTTCTTCCCTTCCCAGGGAGTCGTTGCCGCCGGTCATTTCCATGGCCGGTCGGGATTGAATAGGATCTGTGTGGTGGTTAGTCTACCCACAGAGCCCTGTTATCGGGTGATTTCCCTCCCCCGTGGATTCCCTACTTGTATTACACCCAGAGCTCTTTCCGCCCTTCCCTCGTCTTACTTCCAGTGGTTCTATTGGCCCTTTGTGTACTCTTCTCGGTTGCTCTTTTCTCTTTATATACTAATAAACCATTCTTATCCACACGTCTCTATTAGTGGTAATCGCATTGGATCTTATTCATGGTCTGCAGGGTCAATCTTCTTGGCATACATTAGTCTTACAGACCTCCACTGACCCGACTACCCGTGTATAGGGAAGTGTGATGGGTCGTAGGAGGAATAGGTGGCAAATCCTTCGCGTGGGCATTATTGGGATATTTATCCTATCCTATAAGCGAGAAAAGTATGTCTGTTTTCTGTACAGCCGATTTCTCGGCCGCAAGGCCGAATTTTGAGCTGATTTTTGGCATGGAGGTGGAGAAACACATTTGTCAGTGAGGCATTTTTTTGTTTTTCGAAATTCCTATATCTAATGGTTTTACAAGCAAAATAGTGAAAAATCCTTAACATCTGGCCCGAAAAAAGGTTTGTTCAGAGGATATCTCGATTGCCAGACCGAATTGGGCGCTAATTTTTGGAGAGTGGATTGAAAATCGAATTCTCCCGATATATAATTTTGGGTTTTGTCAGATTTTGTAAAATAAAGTTTTTATGAGCATTTTTCTAAAAGTCCTTAACAAATGGGCCATGAACCGTGGTGTCCGGGCCATAACGCGAGGCTCAGATGGAATTTTGGGCTGTAATTTGGAACACTTATGTATTCGATAGTGGAGATCACGCGCACCTTATTATTTTTACAAATTTTTCGCCGCATTTAGACTCAAAAGAGAATTTTGTAAAGTTACCAGAAGTCCTCCCCTCCCGGTATGAGGCCGCCCCCAGGACAGAAGACAGAGGCCTTTCTCGCCTCCTATCCCATCTCGCCGTGGTGTAGTGGATTGGCCCCCCGGTCTACAAAGCGCGTGGCCCGGGCTCGAATCCACGCCGCCGAAGTTAACTTTTTGCTTTTTGGCAGTTCAACAACAAAACATATTTCTAGGCTCTTGGTATGCGAGTTTTAGGCCTGGCCCTCGCTCTAGCGCCGCAGGCCAAAAAAAAGGTACTTGGCCCAGGCTCTGGCGCCGCAGGCCAACGATGGGCCCTTGACCCAGGCTCTCGCGCCGCAGGCCAAATCCCGGAGAAAAACCAGTAACTCGCACCGCAGGCGAAGAAAATGCCCTTGGTCCAGGCTCTCGCGCCGCAGGCCAAATCCTGGGGGGAAAACAGTCACTAGCGCCGGAGGCTCAAAGATTCTAGCGCAAAGCTGGCTCTGCCGCCGCAGGCCAATGAATGTTTCCTTGAGTCAGGCTCTTGCGCCACAGTCTTGAATAAAAGGAAAGGGAATTCATGATTCCCAGACGGGTCCAGTGGAAAAGGGCCGCGAAGCGGTCTTTTTCCACTGGTTCCTAATAGTGCGGATTGCTATTCCTTTTCGACACTTTTTAAACTTTCAAAACTCTGCAGCCCTACTAATTTGACCATGCTTTTTCAGATGCCGTCAAAAAAACGGGGCCGAAAAAAACTGTGCCAAGCCATATTAGGGTCTGTTCGGGTCTCGCGGACGGCCTTTTAATCCCCGATAAACAATAACTTTTGTATAGATTTTATAGATATTCTAATTTAGTATTAGACGATCTCTCTGTATCTTCCATTGCAACAAGGTAATGACTATTTTCATGGATATTATTAAGCCTCAATTTCAGCCCGACACACTTCTCTTCTTGCGTTATGAATCGACTCGGTAGGACATCATCTGTCTTCCACTATACTAGGGAATTGCACAAATCCTTCAACATTTCCATGGGTTCTCCCTACAATATCGGGAAATACGAGCAAATGCAGGTCAGTCAGTCCAAATAAATGTTGGGTCATGTTGGAAGATACCGAGTAATTGCCAATCAAATATTAAAAGTATAAAAGTATTCAGAGGCTGTAAGAAAAAGCGATATTTTAGTTGGGAATCATGGCAAAAGACGAGGCAATGAAAGTGACATCGGAGAAGATGAATGAATGGACATATAAACGGACAGTGGAACCGGAGGCAGAGGGGGGAAAGCCGCTGGTATGGACGGTTGGTGAATTGGATGCGAGATATATGTCGAATACCAGATACCGAATGCCGCATTTGATTTTACAGGCAAACTATCGACCGACATTCGATGATATCAATTGTTTCGATTGTCTCAAGGGTCCACTACCAGATATGTCTTATTGTCGTGAATTTCATGAAATGTGCTGAAGAAACTCCTTTCCTTTTCCAGTGTTAATCCGGAACAAGAATTTTTTGAATAAATTGCTACCGCTAAAAATTAAACTCATTTTACAGACATTACCAACATTTAAAAAATCTTTTGGAAAGTCTGATAAGCAAAAATTTTCGCATTTTTCGAGCTTTTCGAAATCTACTGCGCAAAAATCAGCATCCCCATACCCCCCCTCAAGGCATTTCCAGGATTCACAAAAATCACGCCTCACTCTATAAAACAGCGCCTAATTATGCAAACACTTTATCGATTTATATTTATATTTTTATTACTACGAGCAGGTGGAGCTACAGCTACTGTAAATCTTAAAATAATTAAAATTACCGAAAAACCATAAAAGTTATAAAGAATCTTTACTTTTGCCAAAGAACACCTGCAAGCATGATTTTTAAAATTAAAAATTTCTTTAAAATATCTCGCGTAACTGCTTAATATTCATTTCGAACACTTCCCGCATCGCGAATACCTACGCAAATAGGGCGTTGCAGGGAAAATCGGATACGGTATGAGTTACCTAACGATATTCTGATTTTTCCGATGTTTTCAGGGCCTAATCAGTCACAATTACATCTCCACAACTCCATATCCACCATTTTACCACAATAATATGCGTAGGTATTTTAGCAATTTGATTTTAGACGAATTTAAGTGAATCTATTATTTATTTGATATTTGATTAAATAGTAAAGCTACCATACAATTTTTTTTGAAAATTTATGTGTTTGACTTTAGGCAATTTACTTGATTTAAAACGATTAATTTAAGTTAAATTATTTCAGATAAAGTGCGTCAATTCATCCATCCACTCCGCCAGCCAGCTTCCATCTATCGATCCCCACCAAGCCAGAATCCGGTTACGGCACAAACTTCCGCGACGCTACAAAGTACGGCAGGACTGTAGCCACAGCGGATAGCCCCGATTCGATGAGCGGAAGAGAGGAAATAAGCGTCAAGTGTGCCTTACCCCCACCACACGTATTACTTTTAATGCATCTTAAAGCCAATCTGCTCCGTTGATTCCTAATAATGCCCAAAATGTCCGATTTTGGCGTAATTTCTAGGGACCTCGCCCCATTTTGATTCCTCTAGCCCTTTTTATTTTCAATTGGTCTTGGACTCATCGAGATGGAGAATTGTGTTATAGAGGGTATTACAACATGTAATCCCCATGCGCTCAAAACAACGGATTTGATATTATATTTTTTTAATATTAAAAGAATTGGGAGACTGCAAAAAGAAATCGAAGTTTCAGTTGGGAATCATTGCAAAAGATGAGACAATGAAAGTGACATCGGGGAGGATTAATGAATCGACATATAAAATGTGATGAAATATGAGATGATATTTGCGGTTATTATTATCAGATACTGGATGCCGAATTCAATGTTTCAGGCAAACTATCGACCTACAGTTGATGATATTAATTGTTCCAACCATTTGAAAGGTTTTCCGATTTGAAGGGAATTGACACCCGGAATAAGAAATTTTGAATTTAAATATATGCTTGCCAAATTCACATGTTTCTAATTTTTTTACAAATCGATTTTGGCTATTAAGTAAAAATTGAATCAGATAAATCGCTATATTAGCGCCAACATATCCCCAAATCAACAAATTAACAACCCAGGAAAAAACAATCACAATCGACCGTTAATTGGGTACCCGATTTTGGCGTTGCGTTGCGAAGCCCTACAAAGAATTTTTGGTGGAAATGACGCCTTTTGTTACAGTAATTCTACAATAAAAAGAAAATAAAAAATAAAATTTTAAATTTTAAAATTAAAAAATGTCGCAGAAAACCCACGGTAAGTGAAGATAATGAATTTTGAAATATAATTTATAATTATCTATTTATTTTTAATCATTTATAATATTTCTAATTTTTATATCATATAAAACGTACTTAAATTGGGGTGACGTACATTATGGGTCGAAGGGATGACTTTTCTTAGATGATATTCTCCCTCTTCAGATCGATTCAGTGGTACACATAGGGTAACGGGGGAAATAACGGGGAGCACAAAATATAGATTTTGAAAGGCAAATCATCAGATTTGAAAACGCCATTCGATAGAGCGTCGAAAAATATACTAAGAGAATTAATTTCAGCCCGAAATAATGTAAAGGGAATTTTTTATTGAATAAAGAAAAATTGATCAAAATCTATGGGCAGCACATAGGATAACGGGGGGAAAGTCAAATTTTCGAAATTTCGGAAATTTCCGGTATTTTGAAAACGTCATTGGATAAAGCGTCGAAAACTGCCCTAGGAAAATTATTTTCAGCCCGAAATAATGTAAAGGAAATTTTTTATCGAATAAACCAAAATTGAGGAAAAACTATGGGCAGCACATAGGATAACGGGGGGAAAGTCAAATTTCTGAGATTTTCGATACTTTCAAAGTGTCAATTGATAACGCAAAAGTGTCAGGGTGTTTTGCAAAGTTTCGTAAGGCAAAATTCTTTATTCTTCGGCATAGAATGGAACACTATCAATATCGGTTCCGGGCGGCCAAAAAAAAGCAATATCCGCGAGAATGGCTTTAAATGCATCATCGTTGCCGTGTAGTTGTCGCCAGATCCCTTCCGCCACATAAGATTCCACCTGTCCCTCATCCGTGCCGTGACGAGATCGCACAGCGTCCTTCAAGGGACGCCACATGCTGTAAATCGAGCGATAGTCTATATCTTCGATCCCTACCGCTCAACTGTCTGCGTGTGCACTTGGGGATGGCCAGGTTTCACGAAATTCTCTTTGTGGTTCACCCATTGCCAGTTATAGTCAGGGTGGTCGGCCAGACCCTTGTAAGAGGCAAAACCGTCCGTAATGATCGTGGTGCCAGGCGCAATGTGGGCGGTGATGCTGCTCATCAGGGTCTCGGCGCGACGATCTGGGACAAGTACAGCAAACATCTCCTTCGTTTCGCGGCAGATGCCTCCAAAAAGCCAACGAGCTTTTACGATACGACCCCTGGAAACCGGTTATCCTTTTGCGACTGAATGAGATTTGGTCTACCGATGATATTTCCTGCGCGACATCACGGTTTCGTCTAGTTCACAAATGGTTCCGGGGCCGCCGATGCGGCTTTCCTTCAAACGTTCACTGGTAGCCCAGCCGCAAACATCTCGCAAATAGCGGCACCAATCTATCACGGTGGTGGCGGCAACGTCGCCCATCTCCTTGGACAATTGTTGCACGGACGAGAGACCGGTACTCCAGAGATAGACCAAGAGCAGCACGGATTTGATGGGGAGGCGCGAGTCTAAATTCAGTTTTCTAGAATAGACAGTTTTGATTGCACCTTGGAGCCAATTCGCATCCCTCACCGCGTGCATGCCACCACCGCGCTTCGAATAGATGCACGGCGCACATTCCCAACGGTACCGATCCTTTTGTTTCTTTATCAGCCGCATCTTGGCGTGGCTGTGATCGCGACAATGAGGATTTTGCAGAACACCTTCCACCACCAGAAACTCAATGGCTTCACGCTCGGACATGCGTGCGATGTCGGTCAGATTCTGGTAAACACTTATAAAACCATATAATCAGAACATACCATGGTTGATACAAAACGGTAGAAAGTGAACCATTACCTCTTCCTTGCCAAAGAATGACGGGTTATTCTACAAGTTTAATGCAAATTTGATCTGGGGTTCAATACTCACCAGAAATCCTAACTTATATAATTTTGGGGTGTATCTCTGTGTGTGTGTGTGGATGTCACTTTCGATGCCCGATTTAAGGACCTTCCCCTGGATAAAATGCGCTAATTCTTCGTCACCCGGGGGAATCGACCCTCCTCTTTCCGATGGCGTTTTCAGAATCCCGATAAAATACAACTTTACAAAGTTAAACCCGGTTTTATTCATTTTTGGGGGTAATTTGCATAATATGAAAAAAATACAAATCTCCTCATTCTTGCCATTTACACGCGCGTGTATGGTCCGTGGGGGAAGGGGTCCGAAGGACCCGAGCGATCGGAGAGTCAAATTTTTCATGCAAAGGCCCAATTCCAGCGCCCAAGGCCCGCGAAGCGGGTTTTGGGCGCTGGTTAATAAATAAATTTGATAAAAATTTTATTAACTTTTTTTTTTGGGCTGGAATGAATTCTCTTAGTATATTTTTCGACGTTCAATCAATTTACACTTTGAAAGCAGCGAAAATCTCAAAAATTTGACTTCCCACCCCCCGTTATCCTTTGTGCTGCCCATAGTTTTTCCTCAATTTTTGTTTATTCGATAAAAAAATTCCCTTTACATTATTTCGGGCTGAAATTAATTCTCCTAGGGCAGTTTTCGACGCTTTATCCAATGACGTTTTCAAATACCGGAAATTTCCGAAATTTCCGAAAATTTGACTTCCCCCCGTTATCCTATGTGCTGCCCATAGATTGTGATCAATTTTTCTTTATTCAATAAAAAATTCCCTTTACATTATTTCGGTCTGAAATTAATTCTCTTAGTATATTTTTCGACGCTCTATCGAATGGCACTTGCAAAATCCCACAGTAATCGCAATTTTCATAATAATGAGTGCCCCCCGTTATTCCCCCCCGTTACCCTATGTGTACCCTTTCAGTTCACCATTGAAATTTCCCAACTAAAATTAACGATCAATAAACATAGCTTGATCTTCATTGCCTGAAAATGTATTGCTGGTTGGGCGGGATTTGGCGAGTTTCTAGCCATTTCTATCGGGTTTTCGAATTGCCCTGTTTCGGTTGAATGAGAATATTTACCCAACGCCTCGATTAGATGTGTCCTGCCTGGAAGAGAAAATATTACAATTTAAGTTAGAAAAACCGTTCAATTTGCTGATTAGCACCAGGAACAAGTTAAGATTCGCAGGATTTTCACGCGTGCGGAGCGTACTGAGTAACCGGAAATTAGGAATTGTATTTTAAGTAATTAGATTTTGGCCGTTTGCCAATTTATGAACAATTTTGTCAATTATTGGTCTCTTTACTAGAGCTGACATTAGTTTAGATCATGGGTAAGTATGAAATGTTTTTCAGCGATTTTTTATTTTATAGTCTGTAGTTATTTTGTAGTTACCTGTTTTTAGTATATAGAGTTTAGAGTCTGCTGGTTTAACTGGTTCCGATTCGATTATTTTCTAAAGGTGTTGTGCTAGCCTCGAATGGGGCTTAACCGAATCGGGTTGAAAATTTCCCCCAAACAGCGTTTGCTAGGTTGCCCCCAGTTTTTTGTGAACGAATCACAAAAATGCGGCGAAACTTGCTAAAATCAATAAAACCTGGAGTTCAGTAAACAGAAATATTTGGGTATTTTTCCATCTTGCTCATGGCATCGAGAAGAACTTTCCAAAAATCTTTCATAAATCTTAACAAACGTCTAAATCAAAATTAGTAAAGCTATACTTTTCTTCACGGTATCCGTCGACTGCTGTCAGTGTAAAAATAGCTAAAAAGGGTACGGGTTCGAATGGAGGTAGCCAGGGCCGTAGCGATCCCCAAGTTTGGGGGCCAACCCCAAAAAATTTTTGCCGGGATATAAAAATCTCAAAATCAGTGTGCCGCAGGCAAAAATTTTTGAAAAAATTAGGTCAATGACGGTAAAAACAGTCTTAAAAACAGCTATAAAAGGCGCCGCAGGCAAAAAATTTCACGAAAAAATCATAAGTCCCCTCCCCCCTTATGAACTTTTCGGCATTCCGCCGATTTTAGGGGGAAGGGGGGGGGGAAGCCCCAAGAGGTTTCCCCTCTCCTACGGGGTATTGGTGGTATTCTTAAGATTTCTTTATTGCTTTCTGGCGGCACTGAAATGTAACTGAAACCCAACTGAAATTATTTTGGTTCTGATCGACGGCGATTCTGAATTTTAAGAGGTTACTAGGCGGCAGCAGCAGGCTAATTTTTCCCGCAAGTAAATGGCCAAGGCAGAAGATAAGGCAGCGAAGAGGCCTCGTTTTGCGACAGCCATTCCCGCTTCTGCCCCTCTGGTTTTCGAACCATACCAACCCCAACGATTAATCGATCAATTGTCGATTTTTCATAATCAAGTTTTCTGATTTATGACGTTTTTTACTTGCTTTTAGACAAATGTCAGCACCTGAAGGATCTGACGATCTGCTTGATAACATTCTCCCTGCTGTCTCGCTTTCATCCACAACCAATGTGCGCACAACGGTTGATAGTTGCGAAATTGGTTCTGGCGGTTTCGGTGTTGTTTATCGTGAGACCAGGGATGGAAGGTATGTATTCTCGTAGACCCCAATATTCTATACCCTTTCTGCTTTTTTGCATTATGATAGATGCCGACTTCATAAACTTCGAATACCACTCAGCTAAAGCGCCCCCTTAAAGGTACATTCCGCTCTCATTCTTAACCCCTAGTTGGCGTCGGGAATTCGCGGCCGCGCGGTGGTCCTCACAGACCCTTCATATTCCCGCTCGCATGTCTCCCATGGCCGTGTGGTCTATGGCGCTTTCCCAGGGAGAGTGGTCCGGGTTCGATTTTGCCCCACGTTTAGCACCTCCCGTAACCTCGTATGCTAAAGTGTTGACCATTTCAAGATGTTGAAAATATCAACAAGAGCGGAATGTCCCTTTAGAGTCTCGCCCCAACTTATACACCCTATTGACGTAAGGACCGCGCACTGCCGCTCGCACAATTCCCTTATTTCCTGGCTCCGGCGGCCATGGCCAGGTTGCGTTTGTGGATGACTGGTATGCCTCTTGCGCCTCCTGAAGGGGGGGTGCGACCCCAGCCGCGGCGACAATTCTTGCTTTTTTGTCAAAAACGCGGCTGAACATGCCCTTTAAAACGTTCTGCTATTGCAAAAGAGATGATTACCTATCGTGTGTTTTCTTGCGGGCTACGGTGGTTTGCGATCCGATGCTCGGTTCTCTTTTAAATCCGGAAAAGGTCCCCAAAAGAGTCGTATGGGGGGGGGGTACCTCAAACTAAAAGGGGTGGTTTGAGGTACCCCCCCCTCATACGATTGGTGCAAAAATTACATCCGATTGAATAGAATCGGTACTGAGGGTTCCTTGAGCGATTTCATCCTTTGCCTTCTACCCTAAAAAGATTTCCTAAAAATTTATGCACCCCGGTTTACCGCACCTAATCAAATATCGCGAGATATTGGATTTTTTTTGGCAAAAAGAAGGCATCCCCTCTAGTGGTCCTTAAGTGTCCGTCGGGATGATAGTGACACCACCCGAAGCTCTCGAAAATTCGAGAAAACAAACGGGTTTCTTTTTCTAAGATTTACCAGCGTTGACCCCCCGCTACGCGGGGTCAGCTGGCCCTCACCACCTCCCCACCCCAAATTTTGAATTTTTATTTTGAATGCAAGATTTGGATGATTCCCGGTCGGTCGATCGGCGGGCGTACGGACATTGGAAATTGATATACAGGGGGTCCCAATAAAAAAGGTCACGCTGGAATTTCGCCATTTCAAATCTGTTCGTTCTGAAACTTGGAACAGAGCTGCGAAAGGGACTTTAAAATGTTCACAGAAACTTTCAGCCCGATCGATACAGAAGTTTTCGAGTTATCGCAAAAATACTGTTTTTGGCAACATTTATGTGTCCATGTTTCGGCTATCTTTTTGGACTTTGCATGAATTAACATCAATTTCGGCCCTAAATCCCTCATTCTTCTTAACATCTGGGATGATAACACCTTGTTAAAATTACTTAAACAACCTATTTCCAAGAAGATTTTTTCGAAATAAAAAATTTTCTGGGGTAAAAAAGGGTCGGCGCTTCCTTTTTGCCATAATTCCAAGGCTAAATTCCGGCGAAATCCAGGTGAAAAACGTAAAATAAAGTTTATTTTTGCTATAACTCGAAAACTACTGTACCGATCGGGCTGAAAGTTTCTGTGAAAATTTTAAATTCCCTTCCGCAGCTCTGTTCCAAATTTCAGGTGGATCGGATTTGAAATGAGAAAATGCCAGCGTGACCTTTTTTATTGGGACACCCTGTATAGTAGATAGATTCTTATCCTACCTTATATAATTTGGTCGCGTATCTTTGTGTGTGTGTGTGTGTGTGTGTGTGTGTGTGTGTGTGTGTGTGTGTGTGTGTGTGTGTGTGTGTGTGTGTGTGTGTGTGTGTGTGTGTGTGTGTGTGTGTGTGTGTGTGTGTGTGTGTGTGTGTGTGTGTGTGTGTGTGTGTGTGTGTGTGTGTGTGTGTGTGTGTGTGTGTGTGTGTGTGTGTGTGTGTGTGTGTGTGTGTGTGTGTGTGTGTGTGTGTGTGTGTGTGTGTGTGTGTGTGTGTATGTGTGTGTGTGTGTGTGTGTGTGTGTGTGTGTGTGTGTGTGTGTGTGTGTGTGTGTGTGTGTGTGTGTGTGTGTGTGTGTGTGTGTGTGTGTGTGTGTGTGTGTGTGTGTGTGTGTGTGTGTGTGTGTGTGTGTGTGTGTGTGTGTGTGTGTGTGTGTGTGTGTGTGTGTGTGTGTGTGTGTGTGTGTGTGTGTGTGTGTGTGTGTGTGTGTGTGTGTGTGTGTGTGTGTGTGTGTGTGTGTGTGTGTGTGTGTGTGTGTGTGTGTGTGTGTGTGTGTGTGTGTGTGTGTGTGTGTGTGTGTGTGTGTG